TCCCTCTTCCTCGGTAGGAAGTCTTACGGGTTAGATGGTTTGTTGGGCAGGGATAAGAAGACTCCCTCCTACCCCAGGGCTGTTGGCTTATAGAGCCAATAACCTTTTCCTTGCACGTCTCGGATGTCCAGATAAGGCTTGGGGGATGGGGAGAAAGACAAAGAAAGGAACAATGGAGTCACTGTTTCTATTTCTGCAAATGGAAATTCTTAAATGTACGTTGGGATTTAACTGGCTTTGGCGTGCGTTTTTTCCCAAGTGCAGTGCGTGGGGTTTCGTTAAGTCTCAAAACACCCATTCTACGGTGGAATCCTACAGGCCCTCCTATGTGGGTTTCTTCCCACCCCTCCTCAGCGGGGTTATTCTTTCAGTGGGACTAACCCATCCTCCAACACCTCTCCAATTCTCCCTCCCTCCCCCACTCCTGCCCCGGCCAGCTCTGGCTTAGAGCGCCTGCCCTGGTGTTTGGGGCAGGATTGGAGCTGCTGACGGAGGAGGCCACTGATGGTGTCGCGTTCTCTGCCCCAGATGCGGTGAAGGAGTGCCGCGGGCGCGTGCTGGTGCACTGCCAGGCCGGCATCTCGCGCTCCGCCACCATCTGCCTGGCCTACCTGATGATGAAGAAGCGGGTGAGGCTGGAGGAGGCCTTCGAGTTCGTCAAGCAGCGGCGGAGCATCATCTCGCCCAACTTCAGCTTCATGGGGCAGCTGCTGCAGTTCGAGTCGCAGGTGCTGGCCACGTCCTGCGCCGTGGAGGCCGCCAGCCCGTCCGGGCCCCTGCGGGAGCGGGGCAAGGCCACCCCGACGCCCACCTCGCAGTTCGTCTTCAGCTTCCCGGTCTCGGTGGGTGTGCACGCGGCGCCCAGCAGCCTGCCCTACCTGCACAGCCCCATCACCACCTCCCCCAGCTGCTAGGGCCGCTCCGGGAACCCCCCAAACCAGGGGCCTTCAGCAAGGGGTGTGGGGCCGCGGTGGGCAGCGAGGCGGGACTGACCAGCGAGGGGCAGGCGACCAAGCCCCTTCCCATCCATTTCTCTTCGGCCTACGACCGGGCCGCCAGAATGGCAATAAGGACTTTGAATACATATTAAAGCAAACAAACAAACCCCTCCAACTTAGAGCAATAATGGCTGCCTCCGCGGGCAGGGAAGACCTTGGTTTGATTTGTGTGTCGGTTTTACTTTTCAGATAGGAATTTCTTACCTCATTTTTTTTAAGAAGTAAGGCTTGAAGTTACGAAACCCACAGGTCCTGGCAAATGTGCCCACCCTGTTTTATTAAGTGGGGGGCGGGAGGGAGGGAGGGAAAGGGGCAAGAAGAAAACAAGTTTGCCAGAAGTGCCTGGTTCCCTGTGCTTGGCCCTTTTTTTTGTAGTTACAAGAATTAAAAAAAAAAAAAAGTCTCTTAGGACATGGTTTTCCTTACTAAGTCACCAACAAGTGAATAATTATGCGTAATAATAGATAAAAGTATTTATTAAGAATTTCCTCGGAGTTCGTAAATACAAGGAGTCTAGTGACTGACTTTAGAATATATGTTGATGTGGACTGGAGCACAGTAGCATGCTAATGTCAAAGCGGTCAGGGAATAAGTGGTACCTGGTAGGGCTGGAGGAGTTAGCGTGATGGTCACTTGTACTTGCCACCTAGAAGTAGGCAGAGTGGGGTGGGAGGAGGAAGAAAGAAAGGGGACTGCTTTTTAATTACTTTCCAAGCTGATTCCTGGGCACATGGACCACTGAAGTGATTTTAAACCACAATACAGCCTTTTCTCTCTGATTCTCAATAATTCAGTTTGGCAGTGAGAGCATTTTTCTCATAGACTTGCCTGAGGACTTGTATATCAGCTGTGACAAATGCCATATCATATTAGGTGCTCCTGAAAAATTGGGTGCAATTCAGATTTTCCTACAGTGAATCATCTGGCAAGGTCATTAGGGAAACCAGCTAACTAGAGGACAGACCTGAAATTAATCCTTTTGTAAGCGGAAGCACCATCTTTTCTCTTTTGCATAAATTGGAGTTTTTAATTTCAGGGGATTACTTGGAATGAAGTATGCCAACGAATTCTTTGTGTTCTTAAAATTCCTGGTTTAGGTGAATAATTTTAAAGGCCTTCTTTTGAATAGAAAGAGAGAAGTGAACACATTTTGGGTCTCACTGAAGTCTGCAATGGCAAGAGACCGTGAGTGGGGAGTCAGGGAAGACTCTTTGCTTGGGAGCTGGCCTCTGGGCTTCTGTGACAGGCATCATGGGCACTTGGGTGCCATTTTAGAATCCTTTCTTGGGCTAATGCCATTTTAAGGGGCCTTTCCAAATGAAGGAATGGCTTCGGGAGAAAGAAGGATGTTTCTGTGGGTTGGGCTTGGGAGGGAGGGTGAAGGGAACAGCTACGTGTTATTTTGTTTGTAATATTGTGGAACAGTGTTGTTATGGAGTGCCCGATTAGAGGTAATTGCAAATTTATCTAGAAATGAGAGCATGTTTTCTTTGTGTGTGTTTTTTCCTTTGTGTTTTTTAGGCCCTTTGAGAGTCTAGATCTAAATGAACATTCTCGCTCACCCATAAATAACTTTTCAGCCTCAATGTCAGAATAGTGTTGATATGCTCTTTCTCATCCGGGCAATCTAGACGGGACCTGGTTCATTACATTTCCTTCCATAAACATGAACCTGTGTTGTCATCGTTCATCCTGTCTTTGTCAAGTCCCGTTTTTAGGTGATGCCAGAGTTCTTGCTTCTCATTTTTAGGAAAGCCTGAGGTTCCCTCCTTCCCCAGAAGTTGCTTGGCTGAATAGTTAGGGGTGAGGCATGGAGGGTTTGGGGTTCCTGGACATTGGAACTATATACAGTACAGTTGGACGTTCCTAACTTTTCCTTGATTCCTGGAAGTCGCTTCATGTTTTGTGATAAACGAGGTCAACCGGGTTCTACAGCTGAAAAAGCTTTAGGTATTAACAGCAAGTAGGCCTGGGAGGAGGGGCTGCTTGAGGGGGAGTGTACATTTGCCGATACCTATGTATCCTGCTTTCCCAGACTGGATTCCAACCACACAGACAGTCAGAGCTCAGGACCGACCCCAGGCATGTCTTCCCCTGCTTTCTGGTTCAAGTCTCCTGGCACAGTGTCGGACTGCTATTTATAAAGCCATTTTCTTTGTACTTGATAACAACATGAATCCCAAAACTTTTGGAAATATAATAGGAAATTGGCTTGATTGGAAAAGGGGGGTTTTGTTTGTTATTCTCCCATCAGAAGGCATTTTGATGACTTGGAATAGCTCTAATGAAGGCACCACCATGGGGTCGGTCCAAATGGCCAATGGGTTTCAATAGAAATCCTTCCCCTAACATGTTTTCTGGTGATGCGAAATTTCTGTACTGGCCGGAAATCGTTGCCACTTTCACTGATTGTCAGCTGAGCTGTTGGCACAAAAGACAGTAGACTGTATCTTCTATGGAGGCTAAGGAGTGCTTTCAGTTCCCTTTGGGAGTCTTGTGTGAACCAAGGGTGTTCGTGTGGCATTAAGGGCAATGAACTTGACTTTCCCGCAGAGCAGTAGTAGGCTAAAGTCACCGTGAGCAGGTGGCCAGGAGCTCCCACTTCAGTCATTTCCTCCTGAGGCCATTGTCCTCAGGTGCTTATTCCAAGTGGATTCTAGACAGTCTTTAACAAAATTGGAAGCCAAGAGGAAAAAAATTTAAATTCTTGGGAAGGTGGACAGAGGGAGGTAGGATGGTTGATTCAAAGAGAGGAGGAGGGGCTGTTAAATTGGGAGTTGGCCACCAAGCCCATAGTGTTGAAGCACTGGTCACCTAGGCTGCTCATAACACCAATTGGAGAGCTTTGAAAATCCTGCCACCAGGGTGTCCCAGACCAACAAAGCCAGGATTCTGGAGGAGGGACCCAGGCATCAACATGTTCCAAACTCCCCAAGTGTTTTCCATATATCACCAAGTTGGGAAGCTGCTTTCTGGATGGCAAGGTGCTGTTGGAAGCTGGGTCTCGATACTAGAGCTAGCTCGTCTCACGGAGACCACAGCTGGTGGGTTTGTCACTGGCCCAGCGTGTCTCGCTGCCAATTCCAGCCGGCTGAGGGACAAGATGCTTTCTCTCAGGAGCTCAAGGAGCACATGACCTGAACCAGGCAAGCTTTATGCTCCTTGAAGGTCAGCAGATCTGTGGAGCATTGTTAAAGAACTGAATACAGTGTCTCCATGTTGATGTTTTTCCTTGAAAGTCTCCTTGTCTGTCAAGAAGGATGGAGAGTTTCACCTCTTTGAAGACACTTCTTCCCCAGGAGCACAGGAGCAACCTGTCCTTCCTTAGAGTTTATGAGTCACACCAGGAAGAGTCTTCTTCAAGACAGCAATGCAATACATGTAACTTCTGTAAATAGCCCCATCTTTCAGAGTGATGTCATTTCTACATTTGATATGCTTGTATTTCTGTAGGATGTATATAGTTAAAGGGATTTTTTTGTTTCTTTTTTTTTTTTTGGAAAGTCAACATGTCTGTTTTTATTTATTGCTTGAAAAAGATCATTTGACGAAAAATAAATACATTTTCAACCACCTCTGGCTTGGTTTATTCTTTCCATGAAAACTGTGCTGCTACGGTGACTTGGAAGGGGAGGAAAGACTATGGGTCATTAAATATAATCTTGTGCACTTATTAACATCTACAGCGGAGACCGGCTCCCTTAACACCACTCTAGGATGGTGACAGGAGAAGGCTGATAGGAATCTCTAAAAATCTGATTTCTCTAGGCAGAGAGAGACCAACAAAAAAAATTGAATGATAAACAGGGAGTGTTCTTCATCTGAGAATCTACTTTGTGCCCCCACACGGGGTGGAGCAATGAGGATGGCCCCTCAGTGGGGAGGTCAGCCTTAGACAGCCTGAGCACCAGTGATGAGGGCTGTAACAGGCATGTGTAGGAATGCTGGACGCCCCTCCGGTTGATAATGTTGTTCCCAAGCCAACTTTGCATCACCACTTTGGTGGCGATTATACAACTCTTAAATTTAGCAAATTCACTAACAATCATTGAATTGTACACTTAAAATGGGAAAGTTTTGTGGTATGTAAATTATACTCCAGTAAAGCTGTTCAGTGATTAATAATGTGAAAACATGCTCACTGCCAACAAATTCAAATAACACAAATACATCAAATAAAAACTGTAAGTCCCTCACCATATCCCTGCCCTATATCCCATTTTACTTTAGTAACCCAAACGAGCAGTTTGGTGTAATTACTTTGAGACTTTTTTTTTTGCATTTATAAATTTATGTGTTTGTCAGGATAATATTTTAGACATTAGCCAGGATCTTTTCCATGTGGAGTCCATGTTACTTCTGCCCTGCCCTCAATTTGATCAGTTCACCACCCCAAGTTAGGGATGGCACTGGAAAACGCAGAAACATAACACATTCTTGTCTCTCGAGCTGCAAAGGCACACAGCACAAAGCAGTGGAATTGGGGACAAGTGTGTGCGCTCAGTCAGCCCCTCCTGTGCTAGGCGATGGGGGTGCACACACGGGAACCTGTGGCCTGGCCTGCTTTTCATTTCACAGCACATGCTGGAGGTGCTCCTTATCCTGATGATTCTGCCTCACCCTTTTTAACGGCTACATAATATTTTATAATATGGACAAATTTCTTATTTGTGAATGGGTGTAATTTCACTATTCTTTAGAATGGTATAGGAGAGTGTTTCTTACTGTCTAAATAGCTAAGTTTTTTGTTGTTTGTTTTAATTATTCTATGATTGTTAATGGTTTCATTGCACTGTGGTCGAAGAGGGAAAGTTTTATGTCTTTGCTAATATAAAGTTAAGTATGACATTCGATACTCTGGTATTTTTATTTATTATTCATCAGTTTCTTAGAGGAATATAGTAAAAATGTGAGGAGGATTGGACAAAGTAGTGAGAGGTTTTAAGTTTTCGCTTTATATGTTTTGACGCTGCATTGCGTATGCAAGGAGTTAGGATCGTTATGGCTTCTTGTGGCTCCTAGGCGATGTTTCTCTTTGTTCCATTCTGCTTTGGAATTGTTAATACCATTTCTACATTCCTTTAGTTACTACTTGCCTGATGTGTCTCTATATGCCTCCTTTTCATTTTAAGTGGCAGTTGGGGATTTATCTTTCAATCATAGAGAACACTTGACCATTTAATAGAAATATGACTATAGAATAGGTTGAATTCTGTAATTAGGACAAAAGTTGACTTTGGATATTTGTTCATAACAATGTAACTGCATCTGATATATAACCTATTGTTTTGAGTAGACACAGCAAGAGGCAGCAAAGAGAAACATTTCCCTCAGTCTTCTTCATTTCTACCTTCCAGCTGATACGATTCTCTTCCAACAGTCCGAGCAAATGGGCAAAATCAGAGAGGCACTAGCAGGATCACACACTTACAGTTTTGTCATTATCATCACAACTGCTTTTTTTCATTTCTAAGATGACTGCTCCTGCTTTAAGTTCTCAAACTGATGAAAGCATTCACCTGGAAATCAGACTCTAAATTTAGAGAAGAGGCCTCGAATTTCTGAGCCACATGATTAAAAAAAAATTATTATTATTTTTTCAATTTTTTTTCTTTCCCATAGTAAAATAGCTTTACTAAAAAATTCAAGTGCATCAGAGCACTGGAAACCAAAAAAATCTACCGAAATTCTATATCTCTGAAACAATCACTCTCAATATTCCATGACCATCTTTTTATATATGTATATGTGTGTATGAGTGTATATATACACATAGACATCAACACATACATACACAGGCTTTGATGTTCTATTTCACAAAGAATCATGACAGTTATATATTCTCGTGGCTTATAGGTGATGTGATGTTTCTTTGTTCCATATTTTAGACAGGTATAAATGTAAATATGCATATACACACATATAAAACAGATAAAT